GAGGAGGAGGAGGAGGACTAGTTCTGACACTCATCTGTTATAAACAAAAGAGTTACATTACCGTCGCCGAAAGGAAGTTCACGTGCGTCTTCGTTATTAGCTTTCGTGGAGAGAAAGAAGAGAGAGATAGATAGAGATAGAGATAGAGATAGAAAGAGGGAGAGAGAAAGATAAAGAGAAAGTGAGTCCTTTTGACGTTTCACTGTCTTTCAGATCTTTCGAGAATTCGAACAAAAAGATTTTATGGTATTAGATTTTCAAATTTCCGATTAAATTTCGTTAAACTTGATATATAAACAAGTTAATTAGATTCTGATTATTTTTATTTTAAATAAAATTGCAGAGTGTAAATGTGATACACATGTAATACTACATACATATATATTTATGTAGTACTAGATTTATTTTGTTGTTCGTAAGTATTCAAGATTTTTCTTTTTTTTTTTCTTTATTACAAAATATCTTTCGTCACTCTTAAAGATCTTATCGCTTTATCATCTAATGACTTTCATATCTTTTGCGATATATGAATAAAAGAGAGAGAGAGAGAGAGAGAGAGAGAGAGGGAGAGAGTAATTTAAACATACGATACTTCATTACGTCTCATTTGTAGTTTTTCATAAATAAAATAAATAAATAAATACAAAATAAAAAGAATGATATATGTAATTGTGGACATAAATATGTAGTTACATTACATATGTACATACATATATACATACATAGATACATACACACGTACTTACGTACATAAATACGTACATACATATGTACGTACGTATTGTACATACGTATATATGTACAAACATATGTGAAGTCAATTAGGAGCATCCTTCGTTTCGCTCGCTTCTTGAATGGAAAGGATCATCTTGAAAAGCGTTACAGAAGAGAGAAAGAGAAAAAGATAGAAAGAGATAGAGAGAGAGGTGGGAGTTTTATAGTCGCTTCTGCAGTCCATTACCGTTTCGTTTAGATCACTCGTCTAAACATTCCACAGCCGTAATACTGTTCCGTTCGGGCAGACCTTGTGCTAGCTTATAGAGTATTGCCATTAGTATACTAGCTAGTAGCCTTAATGACTTGCGGTTTCATTGCGAGAAATTTACAATTTTATATACCACGTCTCAAAAGGAACCGGCCCTGTTATGTTTTTCCATGGAAGATCGTTCGCTAAAACGATTTCATTTTCTCTCGTTTACCAATGGGACCATTGTAAACTCTCCATTTATATTCTCTCTCTCTCTCTCTTTTTCTCTATCTCTATCTCTCTATCTCTCTCTGTATATATCAGTGTTATTATTTAAAGAGAGAAAAAAAGAGAGAGAGAGAGAATAATTTCGAGAAAATATATGTTTATATATATATGTATGTACAAGGAAGATGGAACAAAAAAATAAAAAATAAAATTTAATTAAATCAAATAAAAAAGAGGAGAGAGAGAGAGAGAAAGAAAGAAAAATATATATATATATATATATATATATATATATATATATATATGCCCACACTCTCGAATCAGTTCGTAGTAACACGAGAGTAATTATTCGCATTGTAATTTTCGAGGAAAAGTGTCATTACATGCGTTCGAAATTTTCTACGAAACGTTCGCAGATCGAAAGAGAACAGAAAGTCAGAGAGACAGAGAAAGAGAGAGAGAGAAAGAGTGAGAAAGAGAGAGAGGGTGTGGAGGTGAAGCTGGTTTAACGATACCAAAGTTACTCTTTCTCTTTCTCTCTCTTTCTTTCTTTCTCATTCCCTCTACCGAAACAAGAAAGGAGCGATTTGTCGCTCAATCAAGCGACAGAAGCTAATTTTCATTAGCTGTTAATAGTGCCGTAGCGAGGTCCTCACCCCCCTCCCCCGCCCCATTCCCATCTCCTCCCACTCATCACTCTCTCTCTTTCTCTCTCTCTCTCTCTCTTTCTCTCTCTCGTCTCTTTTGGTTTGATCTCCGACCCTTCATCGACGTTATGTAGTCTTTCCTCCTTCCGTCCTTCCTCCTCTATTCTTTGTCCATTTCCACCTCCACGATTCTTCGTTTTTGGAGAGAGAGAGAAAGAGAGAGAGAGAATATTTCTCCAGATCGAAATTTTAATATTGCAAAAACCATGATATAATACATATATATGTGTATGTATATGTGTGTCAATTTATTGTTTTTTTTTTCTTTTCCTCTCATGTTCTTTTTTTTGTTTCAATTACAACAAACTAATAATCTTCGATAGATCGCTCTTTTGGTTACCTTTTTGGATCCAATACGACAAAAGAAAAGAGATATCATTAATAATAACTCGATCAGACTTGATAAGATATCGATGTTAAAATAAAAATTACGAACAATTCTCTCGAAGTACAATTTTACGATATCTTCGATGAACGGATGCTTTCTTGTCGTATTGCCATATAAGCACGGACGATTTTTTCGGTTAATGGCCACGCAGGAGCTATTATCAATTTCGCACGGGTCATTTCAGGTATGAATAAAAATTCAGAAATTTTTTTTTTCCTTTTCTCCTTCTCCCTTTTCTCTTTTTTTTCTTTTTCTCTTTTATTTTTTTTTTTTTGTTCAAAGCGCCTCGTTCCGTCTCCTACAATGGTGTGCACCAGTCGATGGGCTCGTGCAAATTTAAAAGTCTAATGGTGCGCGCGAGTCCGACTCGCGGTGGAGGTGGAGGTAGTGGTGACAGTGGAGGTGAAAGTAAGGGAGAGGGAGGACCAACCCGTCCGCCC